CAAAGCCCTTTCTGTGTGCATAGTTAAATTCATTTTAACTTACAGTCATCAATTCCTTCTCCTCCTTTACCACACTCCCGATTAAAAAGTCTGATTCCTGTCACAATCAGTGTTAACTCATTTAGTTGCCTTTCTTTATCACGTTTAGTAAGAGACATGAAGGTTCCCAGCTCTGTTTGAGGAAACACACTCTGTAGGGCAGCTGTAAAATTAATTTTAAAAAAATGCCAGGAATGAAAAATTCTTCATGATCAAAGGACACAGGAAAAGCAATTGGATATCAACAAGACTGGTAAAGCTCTGAAAACACCCCATTGCCCCAATAAAAATTACATGTATAGAAGTCCCAAGATTTATGTACACTTGGCTGTATTTACTCAATGAGTTGCAAATATTTTACTGAACAATGTAGACAAATTGCTTCCCTAACTATTGACAGTAAATGATGCTTGTGCCCTGCTTTACCAGATGGGTGCACTGCAGCAGATAAAGACTATCAAATTACATGTATGTCAGTGACTAACTATGCATTCACACTTAGATGATTGTATACTATAGCTCATTAATCCTTGTTTCCTTTTTTTAGGTTAATCTGAAGTGACAGCCACTTCTTCACCCCAACAGGTGGCGAGGCAAGAGCGAGTCTCTTGCCTTGCCACCCATATTCGAAGGGGGTGGGGTGAAGAAATGGCTGACCTCAGTTCAGACTATTCCTTTGTGAGTTCTCTGTCATTTTCAGTGTTTGTTGTTTGTGTCATATTTTGACAGCACAATTGAGGTGCTTTTTGGTGCTAAGAGAGTCCCACATCACTACTTTTCAGGACAGTCTCAAACACCTGCCACAAGTTACCCCTTATAAAAAGGTGTTGCAAATCGAAGTGATTATGGGCAATGAAACCTGAAATGTTGAAAACTATCAAGACAAAGTGACAAACCTGTGGCTTCTCTGACAACTGCAATGTCTGTAGGTGAACCCAGACCAGAGCGTAGCAAAACACATGACACTATTCTTCTGTACAAGCCTATACAAAAACAAGCTCTCAGATTCAATTAAGATGATTCTTCTTGATATTTCAGTTACATGACTGTGTTGTGCAAATTCAAATGCAGGGTTTTGCAAATTGGTAGCATTAATAATATTACGTCTTTCTAAATTTATTACTTATTTAGCTGATAGTGGTTGGGCTGATTACATTTTGGGGGAAAACCATTTTAATGAGTTCATTGAATTTTTTTTATTTTGATAATCACTAACAGGAAAAAAAAAACCTAACAGGAGGATTAGCAATCTCAAACATGTGAATATTAATAATTCTATTTTTATACCCTCTAGTTCATCTCGTGTCCTGGCGCGGCTGTCTGTGATCTCTCTGATCACTGGCTGAAGACGCTGATCAAGAACCCGTCTGTGCTCTTCCAAGAAATCAGCTGCAAGAGAATAAAGGATAACAAATAAATGAAAAAAAAACTGAGATCTGTATTACCAGTTTCTTCTCTGCGATAGTCTACTGGGAAAAGTCCAGCCTACAGTTGGGTTTGTGTATGCAAGGCTCAAATTGACCAGCAGGGGTCTTTCACTGATTGCTGAATGCTGAATAACTTCAGCTCCAAAATGCCAGCTCAGTTTGTGCTGTATAAAAATGTCATCCCTAACTGGGACAAAATACAACTGCCACGGATTGACCCTGTTTTGATGCAATCACTCCACTTTTCTTATGTAAATCATGTTGTTTTTGTCAAAAATAAAACAAGGCTAGGGTTAACTATAAGTACACCTTTTGAAATGGTCCGAATAATAGAGACACCTTAGGTAAGAGTTGCCCAGAAAACATGAGTTGAAAAAATGTAAAATTAGCCATGAAAGTAATTCCTTGTTTCACATGAAACAACAATGTCTAGAACTATCCAAGAAGATCCTACGAGAGTAAATGCCTTCTTCAGCTTTCTGCAAAGGCCAAAAAAAGTACCTACTCTCACAGGCGCAATATCAAGAGGCACTGAGTTCAGGAGCTAATCCAAGAAGAAACCCATTTTTTTACCTCTACTGGTATAATTCATGTCAAAATACACCTGCATTTTGACTGTATCCAGGGATGGAGACTGTGAGTCAAGTAGTCGATCCACACACAGCTAAGTAACAAAAAGAAGGTATTATTATCAAATAACCCAGACCTACTTCTTGGAAACCTGGCAATGACTCCACCTATTGAGCTAACCAGGCTCAGCTTTTCCTCCTATAAGTTACCACAGCTGGAACCTGTTTACAGCCTATTCTATGCAAATCATAGATGAACTGGAGAACAGGGGACGTTCAGCCGAGGTTAATCAAATATAGGGGTGACCACTAAGGTATGAGTTACCTTTTCCCACCTGCCAGTAAGTGAAAAGGAATGGTCATGAAGATGAGTTTGGTTATCTATAGTTATCTACCCCTACTTCCGCTTTTCCATGTGAACTGAAATTGGCAAATTTCTTTTCTTTTCTCTGTAATCATGTTGTACATCTAAAGGTATAAAAGGTAAAGTAAAGTAAAGTATACATAAACCTCTTTGAGGAGATGAAAGCAAATTTATCCACTCATCAGCAGACATCCTGGGGGTCAACCCCCGGGACAAACGTGGGCATGGCGCAGGTTTTTATGATATTTGCTGCAAATTTTTAGCCCAGGATGGAGGGATTGGATCACAAATTGCACTTTTATAGCAGGATCGCCCCAAGGAAAGTCCCTTGGGAATTGTAATGCACCTAGTAGAGAAGGACTGGGAGAGAGATCTCAGAATAGACCATAACGTTACAACATGTCCCTGTAAAAGGCGGACTGGCACAGAAGGTACCAAATTTCTTACTATCAACCAGATGAAAACATGCCACTAGGCCTCTGTCTAGTTTGTTTTTACAAAAAGAATTACATGACCTTTGCTTTTTCTTCACTTTTCACATGCTATTTATTAGAAATTTACAATGTGGAAGTCCTTCAAAATACTGCAATAATTGTGACTGAGGCCCCTTCAACCTCATTCCCAGGGTTCTCTCCTACACGTTCCTTATCTAACTGAACTACTAAGGGAGGGATAATGGTAGTTTTTTGTGGAGAAATGTAGTTCTTGGGTAAGGGGGATTTAAGCCCCTGGGATCAAGGGCGGATTTAGGGTGGGCCCAGAGTGCCCTGGCCCCCCATTTTGTCTGAGAGTTTTTTTTTCTTAAATATCCAGGCATTTGCATCCAGAATGTACTTGATTGCATCTCAGAGAACTTCAATCTCCAAAAATTTGCCACAGGAGCATGTGCCCGAAACTCCCTAGAAAATAGTGCCGTTTGCAACCCTGATGGGCGCCATTGTACCCATAATGCCACTGCATACTATATCTCTAGGCCTCATCTATCACAAAATCCTCTGTCCGTCCCTGGGGATGGCCGCTGATAAGTGTATAAACCAGTTAAGCTTACTGTTTTTCATAACAGATACAGTAGATAAGAAATATTTAGGGTTGTTGGGACCTCCACACTGAAACTTTCACTTGATGTTGATGTTGACAGAATGTAGCCCCGTTTTGAGTAAACCTTATCAAGCCCTGTCTTTAATGTTGTAGTTGCGGTCTAAAATGCTCCGTATTGGGCGATTGGTAAATAAATGAATAAATAGCTTAAACAAATAAGACATTCGCCTTCTCATACCATAATAAGCTTTTGTACATCATCTTTCGTAAGAGTTCTGTCCACGTTAAACTCATTATCAGGATCTAAAACAACTGCTTTGACCTAAAATCATAAAATACACATTATTTTATCGATAAGCATAAAACGAGATAAATTTAGAAACAACAATTCACCCACCATAAATGCTACCAGAGTTTCTGATACAGCTTGGCCTTTGTTTGCACATTCCTGCGCGATTTCGCGTATGATATTCTTGATGACGCTTTCAGCTTGTGCCCTGGACATTTTTGTACAAAGAGGTTTTCTCGGTTGTTGAACTCAAAACATGACTAAAAACCAAAAGGATGAAAAGATACCGCGAAAGTCCGCCATAAGTGAAGTTTACAGAGGTGTCATGGAAACTAGACAAAAAATTCTGAGGAAAACTGGGAACTACTTTTACTGATTTGTTCCCAGTGTCCTCTCCATCGAAAGTTGCTTCAAAAGACGACAACATGGCGGATGATGTGGAAAAAGAAAAACAGGAAAGTTGTGATTTTTCGTCTGCTACGCTGAATTTGCATGGTTCAGACACGGAAGTTGTCATTCGTAGAGAGGTCTTTGATTCATGTTCCAATCTGGATGATGAAAAAAATGAGAAATCTACCGAAAAAATCAATCCCGATTTGGAGAGCGAGAGTTGGAGATGGACACCAACGAGTTTTGTAAATAACTCGGATGATCTGGATAAAGACAGTCATATTGAGTCTGTTGTGGACAGATCTACTTTTTATAATGAGAGTGAAAAATGTATTAAAAATGAGGGATTAGAGAGAACGAGTTCAACTATGTTCAATTCTAAGGGATTAATTCAGACTGAGACAGTTACAAAATTATTGGAATCACAAGTTACAGAGAGATCACCAGATATGGAATTTAGATACTCTGCTAATGAGAGACTGAGTGCACGAGACGAAGAAACTAGAGTGCTGCAAAGTAATGACAATTCCTCTGAAGCAGTGGAGGTCGTGGAACCAAGTAGAAAGTCTCACAATAAAGTTAAGGAAAGTCCAGTGATAAAGGAGGAAGCTTCTGAACAGGACCTTCATGATGGTGTAAGAAGTAAGTAGGTGGTTTGTTGGTGTCGCAGATGGTGTGATACCCACATATTGTGATACAAAATTTTAGAAGACACTACTAGATTATATCCACACCATGGAACAGTTCATAAACAACAATAATTTCCACAACACCAAGAAATACCTGTATAATTTGTCATAATTTGTTGAAACACTTCTGGAAAACTCAAGATAAACTTACTCATTTCATGAATACATATATTGCTTCCCTCCCCTTTCAGCAATGCTGGTTTCACATGTTTGCTTTGGCACAAACATTTTCGAGATCAACATTGAATTCGCAAGCATTTCAACAATATTATGATGGGAATGTAGGTTGGCTCTCCTTATGTCACTTTGGGCACATTAAGATGGGTGTATATAGAAACAATGACGAGTTACAACAATAAAAGGCTTTTTTTTTTCTTCAGGCAAAATTAAAAGGATGTCATGAAAGAAAAAAAAAACAAGTTTTCATGAAATGCTAGGTTCTAATTTATTCATTGTTAGTAAAACAAAGAGAGAATACTACTAGCTACAGGTAGCAACAAAATTGTTGAGACACTGTCCTTAATTGGGGTACTTCGAAGCACAAAACAATCTGCACGCCTCCCCCCTTTGCCCTGCATTCAAATTTGAGGTGTTTGTTGTTTGTTACAGGTAGCTCATACAGTGGCACAACATTGCTTGAGGCGGATAGTGTCGGGAAATTTGCTCCTTTCCCTTTTGAAGTCGGCAAAGTGCAGGCGGGCCCTCTAATGTACAATGACTCAAGAAGTGAAAAAATTGTCAAATTTCTCATGCTAGTGTAGTCTTGCTTGAGTTTATGACTCATGATTTCATTTTAGAACTGTCATTTATGAAGTACATTATGGCAGAAATCTCCCGGGGAAAGTATATGGAACTTGAAGAAGACAAGTATACGGAAAAGCGTGAGAAGGTGTACACATTCATGAAAATTCCAAGAGAGTTTGAAAAGGTTAATATTCTTCCTTTTGTTTGTTTGTTTTTTGCTTGCTTTTGTTTGTAGAACTTGAAGCACTATTCTCAGTTTTCTTGGTTTTTTTATCATTATATGGTTACAAAATTAAAAGCCTTTTTTAAGGTGAAAGGTTGTGAATAAATTATTCTTAAAATAATTGTTATATTTTCATCTTATAATTATACTAATTACAATTACAGCATTATTGAAACCTAAGTTTTGCTTTTTAAAACAGTTTGCACTCAAAGGATCGTTTTGGGCTTTCTGTTTTCTTTCAGCTGATGGTTTTTGGTTTCATGTTGTGCCTTGACTGTTTTTTGTTCATGTTTACGTTCCTTCCATTGCGTTTGATTGTTGCATTTTACAAGATTTTAACTGGACTGCTGTTTTGCAGAACGTGAGTTACAAAATGATACAAAGTTTTATTACAGTCAAACCCCCCTTTACCGACACCTCATTATTATGGACAGTTTGCTATGTCCCTGGGGAAAGAAAGCCCTTCCATTTTTCTAAATTCAACCCACTTAATATGGACACCCCATTAAAGTGGACACTTCCTATGGCCCCCTCAATGTTCGTAGTAATGGGGTTTGACTGTAATTTAACTGAATGACACTTGCTTCAATACTTGTAACAGGGAACTGTTCACAGCACTAATTGTCAAGAATTTTTGATCTCATATCAACATGCCTCGATTAAACTTAAGGTGTTTAGAATGCTATTATAATGTTTCTTTCTCATATATTTACCTTTGTTTCTTGTTGAATTAACTAAATTTTAAATTATCAAAATCTAGTGGCCTGCACTTTTCTCAGTTATGCTTTGTCTTAACTTTGTTATACAGGTCACGAATGTTGCAACCTGCACAGATATGTGACTTACTCAAAGGTATGGTTCTCATGTTTAGTTTTTAAAGTGTTGTTGACCTTGCCTTCATTTTATAAATGATATTTATTCAAAATGTATATCCAAGAAATTTCTCATCAAGACATACAGTGTATATTCTTCTTTGCAAACGTAATTCAACTGTGTCCAAAATAATGATAGTTTTCTTTCAGGATCAATTGTTGTGATCTGCTGGGTACTTTTAACTTATGTGGATGTTTCTGTTCTTTACCACACTGTGAGAGGACAATCAGTCATTAAACTCTATGTCATTTACAACATGCTAGAGGTACAGTGTTTGTATTGAAGTTACAAAATCTTGTGCAATTGCCCTCCGAGGGTTTTTAAATGACCCCATTTGAATCTCATTTCTTTGAAATAACAAACACTAAATCCTTTCTAGACTAAACAGCCTGTGAGGACCAGCGGTAGTTTTAGCCATAATATGTGAGCACCTCACACAAGAAAAATAATTAATTATTGTGAGAGGAAACATTGCAATGACAAGACTTGAAGCTAGAGATAGAGATATTTCGTATTTGCTGATTATAATAATAAAGGTGTTTCAGAGCACAATAATAAAATGTTTATTCTTGTACCCTTAAACACCGTTATATACCTACAGTGTATGTGGTAGTCTCCTTACCCTATTCTATACCTCAGCCTGTGAAGTCTCTGCCCTTCTATATACTTCAACTAAGCCTGAAAAACAAACCCCTATCAGGTGAGATATCCCTCAAAGGCCACTACAGTGAGTACAGTGGAATTCCGCCTTACAACCACCCTGTTTATGCGACCACCTCTTTATTACGACCATATTCTTTCAACCCAAACTTAAAAATCACAGAGTCATTTTATTATTGTGAAGACTCCATTAATGCGACCACCTTGTTATTACGACGAGAATTTTATGTCCCAACAGTGGTCGCATTAACGGGGTTCCACTGTATCCCCACCCCTCAAACTTTCGTCTGGGTCTCTTTCCTCTGTTTTAACTAAAATAATTATTGATATTTTACAAGTAAACTTTTACTGTCTTGTAGATAGCAGACAGACTGTTTTCATCATTTGGACAAGACATCTTAGATGCACTCTTTTGGACGGCAACTGAACCAAAAGATAGAAGACGTGAACATATCGGAATTATTCCACATTTTGTTATGGCAGTCGTTTATGTGTGTATCCTTCAGATGCGTAGTGAAACTTGCAATGTTTCTAAACTACTTAAAAGTCGTAGACAAAATAATTAAATCTGCTTGGCATATTACAGTTTCAATTTCTTTGTCATTGCTAATTGATTATATTTTGACATAATTGTTAATGCATTTTCTGTAAATGTTCAGTTACTGATGGCACCCTTGTTCTGGAGGCAGAATTTTTTAGTTTCAAAGGGCAGTCTAAAATAGAAATGATTATTAAAATACATAAGGTCCTCACATTGAAAAGCATCTTGGGTTTTATTTGGTTCTGCATAAAGTGAAATCCAACAAATTTGTGATAAATTGTTGAGTGAAAGTCGAATAGTGTGATCTTCACCAGAAAGGACGTATCTTTCTGGTATAGTTGTTTAGCCTTAACATGTGAAGTTTTTCATGCTGTTTTAGTGTTGTTTCAATCCATCTGTCTCAATGTTGCTGTTAATTCACACAACAAAGCTTTGTTAGTCATCATGGTGTCAAACCAGGTAGGTGCACTTGTTAGTAATACAGTGGAACCCTGTTAAATTGAACTGTGAAGGTAAACGAAAAACAGTTCAAGTTAGGGAGGGTTCGAGTTATCAGGGTCCATTGGAAAATTCAATTTGCTGATGTTTAAAATAGATTGTTACTGATTTTCAGCACTTTAGTGTATGGTGCAGTACAAATTTAAGGTATTTCATCAGAAACGGTAACATGATTAGGTATTTTTTTATGTTAAAACTTGATCTGTTTGTTTCACCAATTAAAATCACATTGCTTTAGGGTTGACCAGTGTTAGTTTTAGTGTTTTTACCCTTACACAAAATAAGAGCTAATGGGGTGGCATCCAAGTGAGTTAAAAGAACCAGCATTTGAGTTATCAGGGTAAATTTCAGGGACTTTTTGATCAAGGGAAAGGAAATTTAGTTTGAGTTAGCAGGGAATTTGAGTTATCTGAGTTCGAGTTAACCGAGTTAAAAAGACTGGAAATCCAAGGGGAATTGGACTTATCTCGATTTAGCGGGGAGTTCGAGTTATCGGGGTTCTACTGTAATAACACTAATATGCCTATANAGTTTTTCATGCTGTTTTAGTGTTGTTTCAATCCATCTGTCTCAATGTTGCTGTTAATTCACACAACAAAGCTTTGTTAGTCATCATGGTGTCAAACCAGGTAGGTGCACTTGTTAGTAATACAGTGGAACCCTGTTAAATTGAACTGTGAAGGTAAACGAAAAACAGTTCAAGTTAGGGAGGGTTCGAGTTATCAGGGTCCATTGGAAAATTCAATTTGCTGATGTTTAAAATAGATTGTTACTGATTTTCAGCACTTTAGTGTATGGTGCAGTACAAATTTAAGGTATTTCATCAGAAACGGTAACATGATTAGGTATTTTTTTATGTTAAAACTTGATCTGTTTGTTTCACCAATTAAAATCACATTGCTTTAGGGTTGACCAGTGTTAGTTTTAGTGTTTTTACCCTTACACAAAATAAGAGCTAATGGGGTGGCATCCAAGTGAGTTAAAAGAACCAGCATTTGAGTTATCAGGGTAAATTTCAGGGACTTTTTGATCAAGGGAAAGGAAATTTAGTTTGAGTTAGCAGGGAATTTGAGTTATCTGAGTTCGAGTTAACCGAGTTAAAAAGACTGGAAATCCAAGGGGAATTGGACTTATCTCGATTTAGCGGGGAGTTCGAGTTATCGGGGTTCTACTGTAATAACACTAATATGCCTATATAGGCATACATTGGGCTCAGCTGTCATGGTATAATATTTTCCATGCTTAGAGTCTGGCTTTTCCTCTCCCTTGAAATAGAGAGGTAGAGGTGAAGATGCATTATTTTGTAGTTCAATTTCAATGTAACTTTAATAGCATCCATTGGATTGAGTTTAGGTATAAGAGGTTCAAAGATGAAAGTTGTGCCATCCAAAATACAGGGTTGTGCCATTTTAAGTTAGGCCTAGGTAAAACATTGAACTTCACGTGGGAAGAGTTCCTAATGCTTGTGAGTGAGAAAAATAGATTTTCCTCGTTAGCATTAGATTGACCACATTGTGAAGGTCAATGTTATACTGGGCCTTTTTGTATGACATTCAAAACTCTTTTAAGCAACCACCCAAAATGCAAAGGAGGTGGAGATGGTTGGAGGTGGTCACTTTCTAGAAATGGTCACACATGGAGGTATGACCCTATCGTTGGTTAGCCAAGCCCAGAATTTCACATTCCCGTGAGCTGATTTTATACTAGCATCAATATTAACCACACTGCTAATGCACAGAGCACCTTTCACAACAGCAATGAAGAAGTAGCCTGAATATCAGGCATTTCCAGGCAAATAGGAAAAAGAGAAGCCAAAGGGGAGGTAGTAAAGGAAGAAATCTTTCTTCCCCCCTCCCCTGCTAAAATCTCCTCTCCCCTAACCCCTAAGGAAGGTCTGGCTGATACTCAAGCTACGAAGAAGCGGCCGCTTGGAGAGAGAGGGAGCTTACTGTATATTTTTTGTCCTCCTTAGTTTGTGGAACTAAAAGGAAGTGTTTTCAAGAAATTTGAAAAGAACAACTTATTCCAAATGGCATGCAGTGGTATGTTGAAATACGGTCGTTATTTTTTAAGAATTTTTAGTTGACTTGTAGAGAGAACTCTGGTTAAGTTTTGTTTTCTTTTTGCAGATATAAGAGAACGATTTCACTATTTGATTTTAGTAACAATTGTAACGCTTCGGAACTTGACAGAATTTAACTGGAACCTTGGTAAGTTCAAAGAATAGACAATTTTTTTAAGTGAAATGAAAAAGAATACTGCAAAAGGAAAAACAGAAAAAATCTTTACTTGCACATGATGGACGGCTCTTCGGGGACTATTAGGGCGATTTTTGTATGACCTTGACAAATGGTTTCAGTAATTGTCCGTTATTTGTTTTATCAGCCAATAGATGAAAAGATCAAAACATGGCCTCTTAGTTTTCCCACCAAAGAAAACCCTAATATGGGGAAGGCATTGTTTGACTGGCCAGTTGTGTTGCAGTATGACGTCAAAGCGAAGTATCGATTGATTTCTAGAAAGTTCTCGGGCATGAAGTTTTTTTCACCTGAGCGTTCGCTTAACCAACCAAAGGCCACGCACGTTTGTATCCGTTCGATAAACCAATCAAATCGCTCTATCTCCGTCTGTTTGTTGTTTCGGTTTTGTTCGCGCGTTTTCATCTCAAGGTCACACGAAAATCGCTCTAACCCTTTACAAGCCCAGTATGTACATACAAGTTCTCCAAACTGATCTCCATACATTTCCGTGAAGAATTAGAGGAGATAGCTTGTTTAAAAATCAAAGAATTTTCCCAGAACCTTTTTTTAAATTGTGTTTTGATATTGTGATGACAAAATTGATGTTGGTCACTCTTTAGGTCCCAAAAGTGACCAACATCAATTTTCTCTTAACAAAATCAGCAGATCATTAAGAGTAAAGGTTATGAGAATTACTCAATTGATTACCAAAAGGAGAATGCGTTGATCTTAAACCAAATTCTCTCAACTGTTCTTAAAACAAATGTATAGATCAGTATAGAGAATTTGTATCTGGATTTTGGGACTTAAAGGGTTAAAGGGCTAAAAGCTACAAAATTGCAAAAAAAATGGCAATAACTGCTAAACCGGGATAAAAATTCAGTGTTGTAATCCTAAAAACCAGAAAATTCATTCAATGATCTAAATGGGGAATCTCCAACTCTACTCTGGTTTTCAAAAGAAGTTATAGATATTCTTGTAGACTGACTCAAAATTTTCAGGAAGTGTATTTTTTACGAAAGGACCAACACAGCAAAATGGTACTCAGAGTCAAATATGAAAACCCAAAAACCTGAACGTCCACAAAGTGAAATTTTATAACCGATTTCTGCTAGGACGCTAGAATAGAGGAACCGAACTCGTAAAATGGGCAGGAGTCGATAGAGCCCTTGGCTGCAGAACGGGAGGTCGCGGGTACGATTCCCGGGACCGGACCAATACTCAGAGTCTTAAAATAACTGAGAAATGAAGGTACTCCCTTTGCAGTGCAAACGGCTAGACTTTCACGTGACTTGGATGACCACGGAAAATGGCGGTCCCGTCTCCAGTTGGAGACGTAAAAATAGGTCCTTAATTAGTACTTTCATGGTAAATATATTGACACTCAAATAAAGTACTTTCTTTTCCATTTGCCAAAACGAGACTCCTTGGCACCCTCTCTTGACATTGATCACATTTTTGTCTTTACAGAGCATCTTTATGTGATCTGCCCTTATCTGGTTGCCGTTGTATCGTCTGAATATTTTGTTGATNAGAGCCCTTGGCTGCAGAACGGGAGGTCGCGGGTACGATTCCCGGGACCGGACCAATACTCAGAGTCTTAAAATAACTGAGAAATGAAGGTACTCCCTTTGCAGTGCAAACGGCTAGACTTTCACGTGACTTGGATGACCACGGAAAATGGCGGTCCCGTCTCCAGTTGGAGACGTAAAAATAGGTCCTTAATTAGTACTTTCATGGTAAATATATTGACACTCAAATAAAGTACTTTCTTTTCCATTTGCCAAAACGAGACTCCTTGGCACCCTCTCTTGACATTGATCACATTTTTGTCTTTACAGAGCATCTTTATGTGATCTGCCCTTATCTGGTTGCCGTTGTATCGTCTGAATATTTTGTTGATTGGATCAAACATGCTTTTATCACTAAATTCAATAACATTCCTGTTGAGGTAAGTATATATATGCATTCATTTTATCACTAAAATGAAAGAATTCAAAACAGTAGTAGCTTCTGTCCTGCATGGGGGAGGTTATGTTTCTTGTTCATGTTTTAGGGTTTGGAAAGAAGGATCCTGATCCCGTATTCCCGCTCCTTTGTTCACGAGAATCCCGCCCCCCGAAATTCTCTCGTCGTTATCCTGAATACCGTCGGTTTTCTTTCCCAACCCCGCATCCGTCCAACTTTTGGCGAATTCCACTTCCCGAGTAGCAATCAAATCTCGTATTCCGCGCGTTTTTCCGAATCCCACAATGTATTGTGCTCAAATTTCGGATTCCGGGAATGACATTCCAGACCCTGATGTTTATTACTCACCACCGACGGTATTTTGCACAGAGTAGGCGACTGTTTTCAAAACATTGTTTTTTATTTGGCTAAAATATTGAAGGATCATTTGTTTCTGAGGCCAAATATTCGTCCCTGAAGCTGAGTTTATTCAGACCTTATTGTCTAAACAACATTTCCTTATATCCAGATTATTTAGGCCTGAAACATATTTTTCTCGCGCGATGTAATGAGGGGACATTTGCTTTCGTAATGTCTTTTTTTTTTTGGTTTAGGCAGGACCCTTGAAAAATTCACGAATTTTACTACGTAGTTGAATTTTGTTGTAGCCTCAGAAAACAGCCGACATTCCGCGACGCCACCATTGTCTCCCCGCGAAGTGACGTCTGATGATGCGTCACTACCCATATCTGACTATTGCTTCTGATTGGTCGTGGCGCAATCAGAAGCTCTACCCATGCGTCATTAGTATGGAATTTCTCAGACGTCATTTCCCAGAAAACCAGTGATGGCATCGCGAAATGTCTGCTGTTTTCTCAGGCCAATTTTGTCGCTGTTCAGGTGCCTCAGGTGCTGTAATCAAATTTCTGTTGTTAATGATCGATTAATTGTAAACAGCACTGGATATGTTCATTCGTCTCTAGGTATATTATGAATACAGGACCCTGCTGGCTGAAGATGCTACTTCAAGTCGACAAAAGAACGTGAGTAAATATGTCAGTCTTGAACAAAAACAAGTCAGGAAGAATACACATTAAAATCAGTGATTTATTTGTACGTGCAGTTACCTCCTGAGGATGCGTGAAGAGCTATTAGAAGAGTTGCTATGAAAGCGCTTCTCGAGTTTCTACGAGTTACTCTTAAGCTTACTCAAAAACCTGCTGTCTCGCGTTGGCTATACTCCTCGTTTTCGCGATCTCTTTTGTTTCTTTGGTTTTTTGCTAGACCAACAATCGCTACCAGCATTAGAAGCGATAAAAAACTTCTCTAATTGCCTTTTGGTTTCCCGATTATGTTGATGCTAGCCTCCCACGCAGACGTTCTTTGAGCCTTGTCACGCGTTCCTTCCCCACGAAAGAAGGAGGAGGATTGTATGATGGAGGTGAGGATTGCGTGACGAGCCAAAAGAACATCTGGGTGGGAGGCTATGTTGATGCGTAGTAAAAAAAACGGTAATCATCTTTGTAACGCACATGTCGCGTTCTTTTCATGATTCTGTACCTGATTGTGATAAGATGGGGTGGTTTAGCAGTTGTTATATTCACAGCAGTTGTTTTGTCTCACAGGCACATGTTGACCATTTTGATCTTGTTTCTCGTCGGATGGGCTTTATTCCTCTTCCTTTGGGATCCCTGGTGAGTTAGTCATGATTTGCATTATATATAAAAAACAGCGCTCTTCCTGTTGGGTTTCCCGCTGGCTTTCACGCAATGAGTTAACGACCGCTCACGCAAAACACTACTGGCTTCGTTCTCTTTCGTTTTTCAGCCTCCGCCTTAACTTAACTTAACTTTATCAACCGTTTTTTTTTTCAAAAAGTAGGCACAAAATTAATGAAAAAAAACTTGCACGATGGATGCTAAAGCCAGAGGCTTATATGTTCAAAGTTACAGAAAAAAACTGTGCAGGAATCACATTGCGTTCTTGTTCTGGACATTTTCAACTTCCACTTAACTACAACGTTCACTTAACTGCTGCATGGTGATATTTTCAGGTGATAAAAGTAATCGCGCAGTCCGTTAAGCTTCATGGAGTAGCTGGAGTTTGTCTCTTTCTCAGCACTTTTGTTTTGTGAGTATCACATTTTTAACATTTTTTAAAAGACTATTTTTCTCGCCTGTTCAAGACATCTTGCAATTCGCGTTGTAAAGTTGTCCTAGAATAGGCCTTTTGCATTAGTTGTTCACGTGATCAACTTTCTGTAAACACGAAAACAATTCGCTTTTGAGAAATTTTGTTAACACGAACTGAAAGAGCATATGAAAATTAGGTAACCTGTAAATTAAATTTACAAGGATTTGTGTGGAAATCCACTCAAGCGTGACTGGGTGGCAAGAGTTGTTTTTCTCATACAAATCCTTCTAATTTTCGGCGACCGTCGCAATCGCTACTTTTGATATATACGGCTGAAAATTTACAGGCTGCTTAATTTTAATATGCTTTTTTTTCCTGATAGAATTTTGCAAAAGCGAACTGTTTTCGTGTTTACAGAAAGTTGATTACGTGATCAACTATTGGAAAAGGCCTGTTAAGGTCAATCGCAATCTCTCTGCGCCCTAGAGATGTCAGGTAGCCGGCAAGCAGTCGGGTTAGGAGATAATTCACGTTCGGGGCCCGGGGATCGAACGCGGAACCTCCCGCATCTACCAACCGAGCAAATCTTGCTGCTGCGTTTCTAGCCTGCGTAGCAGGCGCTAGGAAGTAAATGAGCGCAAGAAAGAACCGGCGCGCGCGAGGGAGACACGCGAGGCGTGTCTCCTTCTCGCGCGCGTTTTTTCTTGCGCCCATTTATTTCCTAGCGCCTGCTACACAGGCTACTGCGTTTCCTAGGTATTACAGTCGTAACAAAGAAAAAGAGGATCTAATAGGCCACTTCCGAGTTCCAAATACTCTCACTTTCAAAATTAGGCCAAGTACACATAGTCCGGCGGCTTAGCTAGAGAATTATGCGATTTTTGATACAAGCACCAAACTTTGTACGAATAGTTACATTCCCAGGCAGGTCATTTCCTAATATAGTGCCAAGTTAAACTTTCTAATTCCACCTTGTTAGTAGCAAGTGAAATTTTCAGACCCGAGACCCCCAGCGAAGTACTTTTTCTTGCTCTTTTTTTAGATCGAATGCACTTTACATTTCAAAATACAGGTACAACAACTATTTTAAACATGGATTCGAATTGTTATTTTCTTCCCTTCGTGATTATTGTTGGGTACTGTAAGGTTCTCGCTTGGCTAGTTAACGAACGGACCGAGACTCTGTTCTTCTGCTTGTGACTTTTATTCTTCTCGGCGTTTAACAGCTACAACTCTTCTTCTACTACTAGCAAGCCCATCACCAGCGAATTAAATAACCAAATTGCATGTAGACGTGTTTGGGTTAGCTGACCATATGAGACTGTTCCATTGCATATCCTGTCGCTTAACTTTTAAACAACAGAATAGTCTACACTGTCGCAATTAACAAGTACCAAAGAACCAATTGAATGCTAGCGGTAGAACTTCTCGGTACGACCAAGCATACAAAACAGGAACTTCAGTGGAGGTAAAACTCAAGGTCAGCTATAATCCCCGAACATGCTTACTCAAAGAACTTCAGTAAGTTTAACAAATCCTTTTGATAGAGTATTAGACGATACTTTTCAAAACTCAGGAACTAACCGTGTGGGCTATACATTGAATTTCCTTGGACTATGAACGGTTTATTAAGAAACTAGCACGTACTACTAACCATTCGGATACTCTAAACATAAGAAGAACCTTAAAAATACCAAAACTCCAAAACAAAACTAACAGCAACTACTTCATAACATTCCTCCCCGCTTAAATTGCATGAACATTGTCCTCCATGTGGACGGTAGGAAGAATTAATACATCACCTTTACGAACTTATTTTAATTAATAAGTATAGTGAAACTAAACAATGTTAAAAAAAACTACGCAGCGAAACATACAGAGTTCATGGCATCTCCTCTACTGCCATTTTACTGGTGTGAGTATGCGTTACAACGTAGTCGTATGCACTTTCTAGAAAACGTGGTCCGCAGTGACAGCTTCTCATGGTTTTGAGAAAGTCCTTGTTTTTCTTGAAACAATCAATGCAGACAAGGTGATCACAGCGCAAAACAGTCCAGTCAAACACTGCTGCACTTTTCATTTTAAAACAGAAAATACAAATCCACTTTGCTATAAATTGAATTTGGCGTTCAGGATCCATATTTCCTACAAGCAAAAACAGAAAAGAATCACAACAATAACCAAAACTATAATGGTACAGGATATAGGTCAATTTGGTTGAAACTCGTTCAAACGATTATTGACTAACTGCTGAAAATTGACTGCGCTTAGGTCCCCCAAAATAAAGATATCTTCATACTCGTGTGACGCGAAAGATATAAGGTGCCGAGCCAAAAAAAAAAGGTAACCGGATGTTTTCAAAGCAAAAAAACACTTCACAGAATTGATTTCTGCAAACGAACGACAAAAATTGTGCGGAAAGGTTGCACGAAATATGTCGCTGATAAAGCGCTCGTTTACCATGAAATAAGTACAAAGACGAACAAACTCGACAACATTGTCCACTACCCAAATCAGAGACCGACCAAAACCAGAAAATAACCCTAGAAACAAATCAATAGATTGCAACGAGAAAGAGCGACGAATGAGTTACTAAAGGTAAATTTATCAGTACTAGATTCGGGGATAAATTTTTTGGAATCTTCACGCGACCCGGTTAGACTAGTTTCTGGCTTTCCAATTTTCGCGTGTCATGCCCCATTAATCACGAGTTAACTACCTTAAGTGACGGGGAATAGGAACACCAAAAAAGAAAGAATTCAACTTCATATCCTTCTTTTCATCAACACAGTCAGAACGTCAGCTCTGCTGAAAGCATTTTATCAGTCCGAGAAACCATGTTGATTACTTGTAGAAAGCAATTTCGCCCCTCTATTGATGGTCAGCCACTAGCATTTCCAATAGATAGGGGTGTTCTTCCGCCTAACTCGTTCCAGGCACCTCGTTTTACAAAACTCCTTTGTTCACGTTTTTTCAACATTGCAAACTGACCATGCACATTTAAAACTCGATTCAACGCTCCGGCTGCCAATTACTCTTCAAAACACATTTGGCACAAGTCTTTCATAAACTTTATAAATGCTGGATACATCCTTCACATAAAGTAGAAGAATTTCTATAATGAAGGAGTCAAATGAAAATAACTTTTAAAGATTTTCTTTGGTGGGCTTTAAATAGTATTTTCTTCAAAACACATTTTTACAAAACGGAGAAATTAGTGCGAGGTTGTCGTTATGTAATTTGTCTCAGGCATTAACATTCCGAAAGTTCCTCTATCACAACCGTACAATTTTGGGACTTGGACTAAAACCAACAAGCTAAAATAATTTTAAATTGAGCCCAAATGACTCTGACGATCAAAAACCAAAAAGAACGAAATCAATGTAAAATATTATGTAACTAAAATTTAGGCTTGCAATGGTCATACCAGACGCACGAGGAAGAGCTTGCAAAGAATCGTCCACTTAAAGCTGGCATTTTTCTTCTGTGTATTCACCAAAATAAGAGGATTTTCCACCAAAATATGTGGGGTTACACGCTCGCTACACTCGATGAGGTTCCAGGAATCTAATTTACATCTTGATCTTTATTCTTCTTTGACTTCTGCTAACAATTTTAATCGTAATCTTGTTACTTTCTGCTCTACTCAATCTTTACTTACTTCTAACTAACTAGTTCAAGTATAGTAGCGGTTTTTATAGCCAAAGCTTGACATGTTTGGGTTAGCTGACTGTGGGAATAAAATCAAGGTGAACTCGGTGTGGGTGATGTTTTGGTACTTCTGAACCTACATGGTTGCGATCGGCAAGAAGCTACAAACCAATGAAAAACTAAGACGCTTGTTAACAAACCCAAACAGGAACTTCAACGAGACTAATGAACCAAGGTCAGCTCTAACATCACCAACGCGACCGCCTAAGAAAAACTAACATCTGATAATGCCAAGCGAAGAATATTCCTGAAATAGCATTAAGTAAACTAGCAAAAAGATCAAAACAGGAAACACTTTTGTGGATAAATCAAGGCTAACCTTGACCCACCTAATGAAATAAAAACGAAACTTAAAAGATGAGACAGATCTTAAAATAACTTTCAAAATACTTCACAACAACATATATGCAACTCGTAATTTTGAATTTATCTGCACACGCTTTTTCTCTTTTTTCTCTTGGTTCGGATGGTGAAAGCTTGCGCTGTCTCATTCTAAATGTGCATGCGACTGGGTACAGCCAACACCAATCTTGACCGAAATGTTAATTTAAAACGAAAAAGACAGTGTGAAATATGACGATTTTCCTGACCAAAGTCAATCGTTTCGCTTTTTTGCTCGCTCGAGCAATTGTTGCAGATTACGCGCGGCACCAAAACAAACTGAACGTAATCATTGAAGCACATCAGTTTTATACAGTCGTTGTAGTTTAAGGTTTAATGGCGTGCGATAAACAAGACGTACATGGTAAACAGGGCTGGGATCACTGACTGAAATGATACGATGTTTTTATAAACAAGGACAAATGAATGACGTAATTTCGGCTTGGCACTATGTCTGAAAATGCTTGTATTGGTGACTACTATCAGTATGCCAAATTCCATGCCTGTATCTAAAAGTGCACAATTCACCTGAAATTTCGAGCCATGCTGCCGGACTAACAACCTTTCTTGTGAAAATGTATGTTATTACCCTGCGAGCAGAGTCTCCTTCGATCTTCCCGACTTATCTAGGAAGATCGAAGGAGACTCTGCTGGCAGGGTAGAATGTTATTTGCATGAGAATGAAAAATTATTTCCACATCAAAGGCTGAGCACCTAACCTCTTTTTGATGCAGAGGCCAGGTAGGACTCAGAAATGGCCTATTGATGACAAATTCGCGACTGGAAAATGGGTCGAGTTAGCTTTTGCGTGCGCATGCGTACAACGACTTCTCACGGATCGTTCCTGGGGACGCGCCGCTCTAAGCGCCGCTCAGCTATTGGGCCCAGTAACAGTCCCACAACTCTTTGCAAAAGTTAAATCTTCTCGTTTGCGTATGAAAAATTTGGGGGGTAAAGAAGGTGAATTATAGAAGATGTGCAAATAGCGGATGTGCCAACACACCACATGTTTACTAACTCACTAAAATTGTTTTTTCTCTTGTTGAAGCCTTACGTCGGTGAAAGTGTTAAACAGCATCATATTTCTTGGGAAAGCTACTCAATACGTCAAAGAAGAAAAGAATCAAGAATTTGTCAAGGGTCATCAGAGTAGCCAAGTCCCCTCGAGAACTCTCGAGGCCCAGGTCTCCGCGACTTTGTTGGACTCTGCGCAGTGTTCGAGTATTTCATTGGTTGACGAGAAGAGGAAAACGGGAAAAACTGCGGAAAACAACAAGAAGGCAAAACCACACGAAAAAACACTTGCGGAGATAGATAGATACACGCTTTGCAATAAAGAAATCGTGGTGTTTTAACAACTCACGTAACGTTCTTCACTTGATTGTGAAATAAAAAGTTTAGTCCTGAATTCAAAATAAAAGTTAATCTTTATTTAAGGCAAAGGGGACAGTAAGACGAAGCGGGAGGGGTTTAAAAAACCCAGCTAACTGCCGCTGGATCTCCAAGGACCTTATAGAGTGATTTTAATTTACCCATGAGATAGGTAATAGACTTCTGTTAACTTGTAACTAGTTTGCACTAACTTGTTAGATACAGTTTTAAGAGTTAAGTAAAAATGGACATAATTTACGCGAAGGAAAGTTTCATAAAATGTTTTTTAATTTCCAAGTCGATCGTTTGTAGAAAACGACGCTGATTTCTCACTTATTTCCAGCCGGTACAAATCTTAACGGCCTCTTACAAAATCATCGTCTCTTGAAACTGAATTTTTCCGATGGAAAAAAAGCTTCTTCGGAAACAGTTCCCAACAGTTTCTACAGTGTTGTCGAGTACTGGTGCCAGCCAGACCAATGGAAATAATGCGATGTGCGAGGTTTCGCGTGAAACGTTTTCCTCCCCTTGCCCAAAAATTTCCGAGGGGGCAACATATGAATTCCTCTTGTATGGAAAACGTTTCGATATTTTCTACATATTAAAAAGAACAGCAATATTTATCAAACAGCCACTTTGTGATAACCGCAATTTCTTCTATGTCCGTCGTCGGGGGCGTAGGGAGCCTCTGGGCGCAAGCGTTTATTTTATCCCTACGCGAAGAAATGTTTACTTTACCAGGGTAGGATAATTCACAAGGTACATTGACAAGAAAAAACGCCTCTTGTGCAGTGAGTTCAGCTAAACTCAGCTTGACTTTGATCTTCAGCTGAATTCTTTTTATCTGCCAGTGAATGTCTAATCTTTTGCCTTGGCTGATCGTGCGAATTGCTGGGAATAAAAGTTAAGGAACGCAATAATAATAATAATAATAATCGATAAATTGACAATAATCAACATTGCTGTGCCAGCGGCCCAAAATATCCTTACTATCACATTGCTGTGATATCCTTACTACTGAGGAGGAAAAAGTGGAAAGGTATCAAGACCTACAATAGCTCTCGAAATTAAAAGAATCCACAGAGACACGAGAGTGACAGTAATACCCATCGTGATTGGTGCGCTTGGAACTATCTCGAAGAATGCAAAGGTCTGGTATGGGAGGTGTCCCCGAATGGTGACGATGATTATCTCCGCGTTTCAGTGGCTAGAGAAACCGACCGGTACCCCTGAGGTCAGGGGTTCGAATCCCCTGGGAGAATAATCTTTTTCCATATTCCAACCTTGCGACATGGCACTCAAAATTTGTCAATCGGAAGTCACAACAAAACCAGACTTGTGTAGCTAGCTACCACAAGTTTCCCGTCCTCGGCTTGTCTGCTACACAACCGTTCTTTGTGTCGTCACGAAATGTTTCGCCCATAACGGCTGTGTAGAAGACTAGCCCTTGTCGTTCATCGTCCCAGGGGAAATTGAAGAAAATGTTTATGAATTTGTTTTTTCGGGGGGAGGGGGGAGGGCAAACAAAGTCTATTATGGGAGATGTGCAAATTGCGAATTACACCTAATAGTTTTGAATTATTACACCCCTTGATTGGCTAAAAAATACCGCAACATTCACCAATCAGAAGCAGAAGCACGTGCCGCTGCTAAACACACTTTCCCGCGTTTCGCGCCAACTGGATGCGTTTGCTCCGAGTTTGACTTGTTCCCAGTCAGTTGTTTTTTCGCTTTACAAATCTCATTATAATGCACTGTGAGCAAGCAATTATGAAAATTCTTTAGATCATTTACAAATATCCAACATTCAAGGATACGATAACCAGAGGTTTTCCACGTAGAATGTAGCCATGTGCGTCTCTCAGAGCTCTCTTAGCTTTTTCTTCACTTGGTAACGTTATGAACGCTTGACCCTTCATCCGACCTTCCTTCATAAGACGAACGTCAAATCTAAAATTGATAAGAACAACTACTTGTCAAACAACAACATCGGATTCCAGCAAAATGTCCTCAAAGCTCTGCTCACGGGATGTCAGATTTTAAGTCCTGCCAGGATGTTGAGAAAGGATTTTATTTATCCTTTTCACTCTAAAGTTTGCACAAACTTCTACATTAAAATTGTACAACACTTGAAAAATAGTTATTATCCTTTGAGAACCTGAAAAAACTGNCGCTGCTAAACACACTTTCCCGCGTTTCGCGCCAACTGGATGCGTTTGCTCCGAGTTTGACTTGTTCCCAGTCAGTTGTTTTTTCGCTTTACAAATCTCATTATAATGCACTGTGAGCAAGCAATTATGAAAATTCTTTAGATCATTTACAAATATCCAACATTCAAGGATACGATAACCAGAGGTTTTCCACGTAGAATGTAGCCATGTGCGTCTCTCAGAGCTCTCTTAGCTTTTTCTTCACTTGGTAACGTTATGAACGCTTGACCCTTCATCCGACCTTCCTTCATAAGACGAACGTCAAATCTAAAATTGATAAGAACAACTACTTGTCAAACAACAACATCGGATTCCAGCAAAATGTCCTCAAAGCTCTGCTCACGGGATGTCAGATTTTAAGTCCTGCCAGGATGTTGAGAAAGGATTTTATTTATCCTTTTCACTCTAAAGTTTGCACAAACTTCTACATTAAAATTGTACAACACTTGAAAAATAGTTATTATCCTTTGAGAACCTGAAAAAACTGAGAAAGAGGATTCGTTTGAATGGACGTATCAATAGGAATAACATGGGCATTATTTGTCGTATCATTTTAATCAGTTATATAGTAACAAGGTAAAATTGTTTTGAAATCGGCAGAAGCAATCGAGGCTACGAGGGCTACATAGATAAAAAAGGAAAGCAGTTTTACCGCCATTTTGGAACATTAAAGGTGAATTGAAATTGTTCACGTCAGTCATTCCGTTATAAATCCAGTCTGACAAACCTGTCTCTCTCTTCCTCAACACTGTGATTAACATACCGACCAAATATGTACTTGAGGTCCTAAATAAGAGAAATAGCCATGTAACAAAGCCATACAAACTGAATTAGAGCGTACGAAAAATTTAGTCTGTTAAAGAAGAGCTTCAGCCCAAACAGATCATAGAAGCAACACAGCTTGCAATCTGAAGGGAAAGGTATAAAAGATAGTGGTGGCGGTGGCGGTGGCGGCGGCGATGATGATGATGATGATGATGGTGTTGAAGCTGGTAGTGATTACGATGATAATGGTGATGATGACGTTGGAGGATGAAGCGTCTCTCTGTGAGGAATAGCTCGACATATCATTTCTTTAATGATATTGGAGAAACTTTTAGCTTTTCTTCTCCAAGAGGCCGTCACACTCAAACTCTTAATTAGTGGAGATCTTAAAAGGGAAGACTTAAGTCAAAAAAGTCGTGGTAGACCATAAGGTTCCTAAGTTTGATGGTTGCAAAGTAGAAATAACTATTCTTAAAACATGTAAATATTTTTCAGGGAGAAAAAACCAACGTCAAATATGGGAACAAGATGTCGTCAACTTAAGAACGTCATTTTATTCTCTAAGTCATGAAAGGAGAAATTCGTAACTCCCTTACGGTTCTTATTTAGCAAAATTTGCCAAAAGTAACACGAAGATATCTTTAGCAGAGAAAAGGGTGTTGGTCTAGGTCAGAACTGAACTATAGAGGGGTGCTGTTTTAAAACGCTGTTGCGTGATGCAGGAAAGTAAACTTTACTGGGTATTGATCTTTTTAAGTTAAAGGCTCATTAGTAAATTGATTATTCATTACGTTTCGTTCTCAACAGTAGACACAGAAATTTCCAGAACGCTAAAACATTTCTTCAATCAGCAAAGACTGAAATAGGACGTGTTATCTCACGTTCTAACAAGGCAAATTATAAGAATTTCGGTGTTCAATAAATACTAGGTCTTCCTACATGAATCAAAATTTGGTTTTACTTTGTAAATGCTTTAGATTTCCTTTGGTTGCTATGGTAAATAGACTTAGCTCAATTAGCATAAAAGCTAGGGGACTTCCGAAGGCCAAAGCCATAGAGAATTACGTCACCCCTTTTTTCGCTGCCATTTCAGTCTTTTCGTGGAGAAATGGTGCATAGTAGTTTGGGCCACTTCTTTTAAATTTAACTCCCCGAGGGATTAAAGGAAAAAAACCACAACCCTTATCAATTGATCATTTGCTTGTAAAAATTTCGAAAATTAGTGACCATTGGCTTAGTCCAGTGACAATGATATCAAGTTCGGCAAAAATTCACTGAATTGTTTTCTAAAACCTTAAACTAGAAAATAATAATAATTAACAATTAAAAATTTATAACGCGCCTTTTCCATGCAAAACATATATAGATAATTCTTATCAAAACTTTGAGGAAATGATTTTACTAAATCTTTAGTTTTCGAATCGCGCGCACCAAGAATCAAAATATAACAGACGTTTTCCTAAGCAAGAACAACGCTGGTGTAAAAAACATGTACCTTTTCCTCGACATGTTTTGCTACGTTCTTGATGTACAGTCTGCACGTAGGGTCTCCAGGTTTGTAATTCTTAAAGGCAGATATATCGGCCATTTCTGTTAAAAAAGAGAAGAGAAAATGGTTAAGAATTACTGCGTGACATTCTCGGAGGATTTTCCTATGAAGCCTTATTTCTGGACAAAAAATGTGACTGAATGTTTAGCTCTGCATTGATTAATCAAGCTTTGTTGTTCAATTCCTTTTTCAAAATAGCAATATATATCTTTCTGCCCTTGAAGTGAAGTGTGCATGATATTTGCATCCCTTCTCCATCCCATTGCCTTTTTTCTAGTATTAGCTTCGAACTCCCAATAACTCGAACTTTTTTTTTGGTTTCCCTCGGCTTGACAAAACCGCCATGCTACGCAGGCTACGGAAATCGAGCTTACGATTTCCCTTGAAGGTTCGAGTTGTCAGGAGTCGACTGTAAATATCTTCGTAGAATTCGGATAAGGCGTTTCTCAGGTGTTATACTGTTCATGACCATTTGCAGTGCTGTGAGCTTTGAGCTAAAAGCCCAACTCTAGTTGAGACAACACTTAAAATATGAGCTTGATAGCATTTTGCGTTATTTTCTCGTCAGTTTATCCCTAAAACACTGAAGGTACAGAAAAACTATCATCTTCAATTCTTTTGCTTCAGCATAATTCACGATTTGTAGGCGTTAAATTACTTCAGGTATATTTCAGCAAAGCGTCAGAAATTTTGGCCAAAATAAGAGATTAGGGGTACGAAAATCAAAGGTTCAAAATAAAACCGTGGTTCGTATAACTTCAGGCAAACAAATATTTCAAGGATTTTTCATTTTTCAACGACAAATTACGGTTCCCAGGGCCCCTATGGAGACCAGCCTTTTATGATAGGCTACCCTGTGTAAATAAAGTTTTACTTACTTACTTACTTCAAGGACTAAGATTTATTTAATAAATCGGCATTCTTTAACCCCCAACCCTATTGGCTAAAAACGTCATGGAGTTATCTACGATTTTTACTTCTTCGACCATCGTTGATCACATTATTTTATACAACCGCTTTCCGCAGCAACACTTTGCAAAATTACTGGGTATGACATCTCAGGTACAGAAATAGCACTTGATATAAAGAAACAGAAATAAAATATTGTTCTTACACAAAAATGTTGCGGGTAAACAAAGAGAGATGAAGTTTCCCTTGTTAGAGGAAATACGATAACAATTCAAAGTAAATGAACCTTTGCTGCTTATCCTGTTCCTGCGTAATTCGGAAGATGATATAAATTCATTGCTTTCCTCAGAGATTAGTTCCTCTTCCTCCTCCTCATCCTCTTTGTTGTCATCAGCATCCACTGCGGGCGCAAATCTCCCAAACCCTTCGGTCGTCTCTGGAGGATTGGGAACTGATGCTAAAGAGATTCAATAAAAAATATACTCAAGAAAAACTAAAATCTGTATTATTAAATTATTATTATTATTCAAATGAACTTAAAAGAATATTTGCGGCTAACTCAGTTGTATCTTCTGAGCTCCATCTAATCAATTAATTTTCCCAGTTATCTTTTCTTAAATTTGTAATGCAAATGACACTTTTTTTGTAATATAATTCTAATGACGAATCAATATTGATTGATTGATTGATTGATTGCAAGAATCACTTATGTAGATAGATACCACTTATGCCAACCAAAAGTGCCAACATTTAAGAGATTCTAACCTTCCATTTCATTAGGTGTTCCAGCATCAAATATGCTTGAAATCGCCTCAGTAAGTTTGAACTCTATCTTCTTTGGCTGGCCAGAAGGCTGTTCAAAGGCTTTTTCTACAGGAACATGTTTTGATGAAGGCACTGATCGGCCTTTCTTGGTTGGTGGCTGGGATGGGTGAAGTGCCACCTTGTGTCGTTTTTTGGAGCTGGTGACGGGCTTCGCGACAGCCATCCTCTGAGCATGCTCAGCTCTTTCCTTAGCTCTGAGAAAATTACAAGGTTTTTTACTTTTTCAAAAACAAGACCATAAAAGTCAGAGATTGGGGAAACCACCATAAGAGAGGAGGATGTCCATTGTATGCTAAGAGTTATAGTTTATGGTAATGTGTAGAAAAATAAAGTACAGTGGAGCCACAATGTAACAAAGAACCAAGGGACTGAAGAAATCTGTACACTAATCAAGGTTTCATTATATTGGGGTTCTTTCTCATATATTTTACTATTACTGGGGTAAAAAAGATTGTTTGTCATACTTAGGACTTTGTTATTTGGAGGTTCATATATTGAGGTTTCACTGCACATGAAGAAAACCAAATACTTACATTCTGTGACAGCATTCAATTTCAAAAGCTTTTAATTTGCACAATTTAAAACAGTACATTGTTACTGAGAATTTAGTGCCTGTTTTAGTAGTCTCTTTAAGGGGTCAAATAAAGTTTGAGCCATACCCAGAATGGTCTATTTTAGGGGTTTAACTGTAATGTTTCAATGAACATTTCCATGGGTATTGTCTTCCATATGGGACTTCTCCGCCCCCGCCCCCCCGCACCCCCACTCCCAATGGAGGGTAGGAGTTTTGTAGTGTAAGGAACATTGTTTACCTCTTTTCTCTTTCCTCTTCATCGCTTTCAATTTCTGACTCATCACTTGACATAAACCTGTCATCATCTGAAGATAGAGCTGTCATCTGTGTTTCCTCCGTTGTCTCACCCAACTTGAAGATATGAGAAGGATTAAATAGATCAGTTAATTGTGTCATTATAAAAAAAGCTTGAATCTGATTAACGGATTGATCTGGTTCCTGACAGCCCATATTTATTGCTTAATTATGCTACTGTAATACCAAAACTATCCAATTGGACCTGTATGATTAGTAGGAGTTTGTAATCAGACAGGTCCCATCAGACAGTTGTACAGCCAGTGAAAATCGAGCTATGAGTACACTTGCTGAAGTCTCATGAAAAAGACCATGTTGTGGTAAAATTCTGAAAAGTGACATGGCCTTGAAACAGTGACATACATGGTTCGTATAACTTCAGAGAAACAAAATGGAACGACTTTTCAAGGACAAATTACAGTTTTTAAGGTCAAGATTTATTGAATAAATTGGCATTCTTTGACCCCCTTTTACAATACATTGGTATCATTTTTCTGTCGTTGGAGGTCTTATCACGTTTTCTTGCGATCGTTGAGCAGCTGGCTGAGGTTGATTCTAGTACATGTACGCCCACCTACCCCACCCCTAAGCCAACATTTTGCCCTAAGTGAGAAGTAAATGTTAATGTTGGCTTAGGGGAGGGGTAGGTGGGCATACATGTACTAGAATCAACCTCAGCCAGCTGCTCAACGATCGCAAGAAACATGACAAGACCTCCAACGACAGAAAAATGATAGAAAAACCTGGTCATTGGATGCATGACAATTTCATTGAAAATTAACTACTAGAAATTGTGCATTTACCATTATGTCAATTACAACAGTCTTTTTTTATAAAGCTTTAAAGATTACTGTGTTTTGAGTTGCATATTGTATTTAGACAGGAGATCAGAGCACAAATGAACAGTACCGCAGTACCATGATAGGTCTTCTATTACCAAATACCATCAGCCAAAAAGATACTACAATACTGCAAATTAAAATTAAAATTACCAAAATGCCACTTGAAAAAAAGCTCAATACAGCATTACCCCAATGTCCCCCTCCACGACGCAAGTAAATTTTAACCTCTCACTTGTCCTCATGGACTTTTTCGTAGGCTGACTTACCACTGGTGGGGTAGGGGTAACTTGACCAAATGGAGCTGGAAGATTCATTTTATTCATCAAATGCAAAACCTACCAAGAAGTGGAACAGTATTGCTAATTTGTTATTGTCATAATATCACTATTACCTCTCAATAAAATTGTTTAATGTCATCTATCTAAGTGAAGGAGAATATTGAAATCATAGCAGAAGTCACTTAGGGCCTTCTAGGTGCCCCTTCAATATTAAATAAAACTTGCAAAGTTTAATGCATTTTTTCAAGTAATGTATGTTAAGTACCATAAGTGACATTTTGGCACCTGACTGCAAAATTTATTTCACATTGTTAAAAGTATGTAAAATTGGAAGGAAGTCATGATCTGTTTAACTGCTCATGGCAGATTACATTCATTGTCAAATGATATGGTCAGTTATAACTCCAATGACCAACTTTAGTTGCAGCCTTTCTACAAACTGTGCGGAAATCAGCAGCAGTGTAACAGTGTTGAATACTGTTTAATAAATGAAGAGTACTTAGCACTTAATTAAGTGTAAAACATAAACATAATGCATAGCCACGTTGCTTCACAGTGGATAAAGCACTTGAGTTGGAAGTCTAATGAATGGCTTCTAAGTTCTTCTCAATCTGTTTAATTTTTCAGTATATCCTCCATTCTCTGTAACAAATTATGGGGATAATTATTTTCTGCATGCTAATAATGTGCTTTTCATACTCGTTTCATTACTTCCACATGTACATGTACATGTACAACAGTAAATTTCATATCTAGATGAATCGATCATGTATTCACCACAAGAAAAGTGAAAAATATTGTCACTTATTCACCTGGATGTAAAATCTTGGTACACAAGCCAAAGTGTGAGCGATGTTGGTGAGAATTGTGGCATTTACAGGAGGGTAGACATAATGAAGGCTGGGATTCGAAGCATAATTTATTCTGCAAATTATTAAAAACTTTAATTAACTGTACTGAAATCTATAACATGAGAAAGGGCTGGCTGTGAAATCATTGTCTCTGCCCGTTAATGATCTATTGTTTTAAAGACAAAATAATAAACATCATCTCACTTTTACAAAGAATGCAATGAAGAGCATTTGTGGCACCAAGCACTCGCTAAGCCTCACTAAACCTCACAATATTAAATAACAATAAATTAGCATTGACGAAGCCTTTCAGTGTTCAGTGATAGATCATCTTTCCTCATAAAGGGAGCAAAAACCAGATAAAAAAAGAAAATTCTCTGAACAATCTGAAAATAATCAACAGGGCCATCCATAGGCTTGATTTCCACCACTCTCTCGGTCCTCCCCGAGAAGAGAGGAGAAAAGCGCGCGTTCATTTCCCAAACAGTGGCTGGTAATTGAGCCTAGGACATCCAGGGTTTAAGGTATACTATGTACAGATTTTTTTTCTTCCTTCCCAGTGGGTAATATAGCTAAACAATTTTGGGTATACAATGCATATAGCTCTCCATGTAGTAAGGGAAATGTTGGGAATTTTTTAATAGTCAATTTTATTTTATTTTTTTTTGAAGGGGATATTGACGGTGACATTAATATAACTCAACTCCAACCTCCCTTGCCTTCCCCCTCCCACTGAGTATGACTCCAGGAAGGTTTGAGGCAAAGGAAAATTCAGTCTAAAATTTTGTTCTTTTTCTTTATCACTAAGGTTAATATACCTTGGTTTTAGAATCATAATAAAAATAAGCACCTTATACAAAATAACTCTCAAACATCATATTTCAAAATGTCACTTCTATTTTTCTCTTACCCTAAGCCTGGTGCCATTCCTTGCATGTTAGATTTCGCTTTTTCTTTAGTGCCTTGCTCTGATTCTTGTTTTCTGGTTTCTTTTTCATCCCTACCATTTTCAGCAAGTTCTGTTTGAGGGGAGACTCTACCAAAAAAGACCCCATCATTAATAATGCAACTCACTATTGATCCTAAATTCTTAGTTCAAAATCCAGTTGCAATTTTTGAATACTGGTACATTTTATCAGCCATAAACAAAATTTCAATTCTTGGCAATGATCATGAAGGAATTTTGAAGGGTTGTGTTTTGCTGACCATTGAAAACTGCATCTAGCAAACAAGTAAACCTCAAGTGGGGTAACTCCAACTACTCATAATAAAAAGCAAAAGATTATGAAAAAATGATGTCATATGAGTGAGTATCTTTTGGCACAGGCATCCCAAGCTCATGTTAAAAGGGTGGAAGAGAGCGAGTTGGTATCGTGTTTCAGGCGATCATTGAGACATTGTATGAGAAGTAAAATACTAAGGTCTGTGAACAACAAATATCATTATATTTTACCTTTTGTTCAATAAACTAAACAAGATGAAGTAAAGCTTAACTTTGTGTTATGAACGGAGTTACAGGGGTAACGCAATAGAGCCAAAGAGTTGACGCACTTGCATCACAGAATGTAAATCACATTAGACCCTCATAATTTGAGCTTGGGATGCCTGTGCTTTTGAATGCAGTCAAGACTAACACGACTGAATTCCATGTGCGACCACCTCTTGTACGTGACGACCTCCTATAACTAATTTCTTCATCAAACTTTCTTAGTCAAATCCTTATGATTGGAAACCCTTAATAACGACTACCTATCATTTTTTTCTTTTTTTTTCAGGATGGGGGTGGGGACAACCATTTTTATGATTTTCCATTGTTTTTAAACTCTTGTAGATGACCACTCAACATATGGTTCACTGTATGTGTGAAGCTACAATACTAGAGTATACAAAGACTTTTTAGTAACAAAAAGGAACTACTCATATGGTGACTTGGAAATTGAATGCAATAAATGTTATTCTTTTCCCTTTTTTTTTCTTTCCACACTGAGAAGATCCTCTTTAATTCTTGTAAGCGGCCATTAAACCTTTAAATTTAATTATTGGGCGGTTGCTTACAGGAGGTTCAACTTTGGCTGCTTACCTACTGCACTGTCGAGCAGCAAGATGTTCATGATACGGTTTTGCATACTCAACAGTTAATCTACTACCAAGGATTTCTATCTGGTGTAACTGAGAAAGAGCCTATGAAGTAAGTAAGGCATTATTATTATTCACATAACCAAACATTATACACCATACAGTACATGAAGTGTTTAAAAGGCTCCTTGTAACCGGCCACTGACAAAACAAATATAAACTAAGTACCCTGCTAAGTAGAGGTTTCTTTCCAGCATTCAAACATGTATGGAGTTGTTCACATTGCTGACATTTGTGTAGGCTGGCTTGTTAACATCCCTGAGTTTCTGTCAGTAATACTAAAACAAGCCAACCTACTGATGACTTGGTACAGGCTGAAAACCATGCCACAAAGGAACCTCTGCTAGCAGGGTAAATCTTAATTGACAGAGGATGAAATATCACGCAAAAATAACTGGAAATCTTACAGAATAAGATAAAAGGTATACATTAGTATTCAATGTGAATTAGACACATTTTACGCACAAATACAGTTCAACAGCCTACCCGAGCTGCTTCAGCTTGAGTAGAAAATTCCGCAAAAGCAGCATCTCTCTGAAAATCAAGTGAAGTTTTACTAACTAATGGTTATTACAAAATTCCATTATACAGGAATAATTTATTAAACAATAATATATTATTGTTTAATAAATTAAGTCCACAATCTTGGAAATGAAAAAAGATAAATATGAAAACAACCTCTCCAAGATTCAGGTCTCTGTGAATTTTCATATGGGAGATACTTGGAGAAATGTTCTACACAAATTTATAGTTATACTTTATATGGAGACACCAAGTTAGTATTCCTTCTGAGGGACACCAAGAAGACTTTCTAACCAACTCCCTAATTCATCCTAGCTATTTAGAAATAACCCCCCATAAATTTTACATATTGTGAATGTGACCCCCACACAATTGCAGCAGAATCTATGAATATTCTAGCTACAAATAATTTTGTGCTGAAGTTCACCACATACTCTATCTACAGTTGTGTCTTTAAGATGGGTGTTAACTATTCATGGCTTTTACACTCTATTTTGATTCCTGCTTGTAAGAGCTTTGACCTACTTTCATGAAAATTATGAAAATGACCCCCCAGGTAATACTTCCTGCCATGTCATGCAAAAGCTTAGAAATGCAAGCATATGCTTGTCATGGAACAAAAACCCTTTCAAGACAAAAACTGGAAAATAAAAGTGTTAAGCCACACATGCTCTAGACAATACCTTATAAAATAATGTAAGAACTCAGAAGAACTGACAATATTATTGTGTAGTTTGAATATTTTGATGTCAAGTGAAAACCAGCAATATTTTCATTCAAATATCACATAAAACCTCCACGAAGAAGAATTAATTAATTTCAACCAAAGAATATGTTTTGTCACTTCAGAAAAAAAACAGCTAGTGTACACAATTTTGGAGTTCTTGACTAGAAACTTAAACACAAGGGCCATCCGTTGAGGACGCTTGCTCTTTTTAGTATGAAAATGTTTCTATTGACTAAGTTAAACCACTCACAAGCAGATCTTGTGAAATATACCATAACAGAATCACGTCAATTCATTGCATTTTTTAAGAAACATCAGGAAACACTGCACAGCAGGTTTAATGAGCTTAATAGTGACAATAGTGCAAATTCGTGAAAATTCAATTGACACTGAGACAGATCCTTGACAGATTAAAAGCCAGATGCTCACCATTTTCCCTCTTCTTTCCATACATATTACTTCCTTAGCTCCAAAATGTTTCAGTAAGTCAGTTTTGTCGCTCACATTCAGCTGAGAAGGCAAGTGTCTCACTAACAACTTAGTGCACCCGCTTTCCGCCATATTGAATTATTGGAATAACCGCTGTACGGGTACTACAGGCTCAAATTTACTGATGCCAAACTTGTGCGAAGGAACAAAAATCATGGCAGAGGAAAATAAGGTGAGGTTTAGTCTGAACTGTCAGTCGTTTCCATGGCCCTAACCAGTGGGTAAGGTCTGAAGAAGGAGGAGGACTTAAGACTGCAGAACTTGCCGTATAGAAAAAGTAGCCCATATGGGCTCCTGGCATTAATATCCGTACCCCCCCGGTTGAGGACTCACCTTTTCTTACTTCCATAAAATATGGGCTTACCACTGAAGAATTGGGTCATACCCCTGAAGAATATGGGTTTACCACTGAAGTGAAGAATTTTGTGAAAATCAAGGCTTCACCCCCAAAGAATTCAGTATTTTTGTACTCTACCCCTAAAGAAATCTTCAATTTTTATAACTTACCCCTGGAGAATTCTATGGTTCCTCAACCGAGGGGGGTGCGGATATTAAATGCAATATACAGGCATATAGCCCATTATGATATTAGACGTGAAAAGATTCAACCATTTTTATAGCCTGTGCGGCGGGCGGCAATCAAAAGGGGAGAGGGAAGGAGGGAAAAGGAAGTGGGGATTTCATTTCCCTTTTGCACTTTTCTCCTGACCCCCCCCCCCCCCCCCCC